AGTTATTAATGTACTTCGGTTCTTGCTGCCTGTTGCCAGTCCCAATGTACTTATACAAATCGATATTGCAATGGCTTATAAGAGTACACAACGACTTCTTCCCGCCATATCAAGGTACGGCTGTCCATGCAAACTGTATTTCTACCAGTCATTTTCGTGAAACCATACGGGCACCGCGACATTCTGTCGAGAACAACTAGTACACACAATTATTCGCATGAAATTTTGTCGCTTTCATTTCGCCACATATGTGGCCGCGCGAATATATCGTTGAGGAATCTTAATTGGCAGAACTTTATCCTTCGAGACATTTCGCCCCGAGCCCCTTTCCACGTTGAGATACTTCGTCCCGAGGCCGTTTCGACAAAAAGTCACCTCATGTATCAGACAAACAGTCCATTAGCTCATAAAGACAGTCAAGAAAACAAAAAGGACGACGGCATGATAAAACATAAAAAAACAAAGCATAAGAAAACTCAAGAAAATGTAGGACAACATAAGAAATCTAAGAAAAGAGATAATCCCAGAAATAACCTGACAACATAAGACAGCCAAAGAAATCGTAAAAACACAATATAAGAGAACACAAGAAAACATAAGAAAACGTAAAAACAACAGAAGAAAAAGTAAGGAGATTTAGCGAGACCTGTCTAATTTAGGAAAACCCGAGAAAAGCTGAGAAGACCAATAGAAAACTTGAAGTACCTAAGAAAAAAGACTGGAAGACAAGAAAAAGATGTACAAATTAAACACGTCTAATTCGTTTGTGGCGAATCATCCGCGACCAGACGTCTTACGTCAAAATGTTGCGACGGCAAAATGTCTCAAATCAAAATTTCCTAAACTTATTAGTCCCAGCGTCCGTATGTCCCTCGACGAAGTGTCTTCGCGATGAAAAGTCGCGCGTCGAGTTCAAGTGTGGCGAAATGTCACACTTCCAAGAGTCCGGTGAGCCATGCTGGCAACTTTCGTCAGAATCGGATAGAGAGCTGAATCATTTGTCGCGTCAGCGTTTTTAAACTTTCCCGGTGACAGCACAGCAGTCGGTTGTTGCGCGCCCATTTTGAGCTTAAATCGATAGAGTTCAAGGTTCTGAGCACTGAAACGAGTCATGTGCACTATGGAATTGTTTATGAGTACGTCATGGCTTTTTCCCTAGTACATAAGAGGGTGTAAACGGGTGGAAATTCAATTTAGCTTAATCTTGCGTTAATGTTAATCTTCCTAACTGCAACACAAACGAGGTCCGGAAGTGTGTGGGCTATCTGAGCGGAGGCTGAAGGGGCACCCGGCGGGTGTCGTGCTCGGCCTGCACGTGCGTGCGCAGCGATCGACCCGTCCTGCCTGCGCCCTTCTACACCTTGGCCCTTTATTTCGAGATGCAATCGAGAACAGCAAAAAAAAACAGAGGTGTGGCGGGGGTTGGGGAACATCGAGATGCCGGTAGAATGCAAAACTGAAAATGAACACATCGGTGCTGCTGAAAACACCTTATACACCTTATACATATAGGGAGACATGCACAGCCGGACAGTGGGCGTAACTCAGAAGACGCAACAAGGACGTTAGTCCAATGAACATTAATAGAATTTAACATGTTAAATTATCAACAGAAGTACAGGAATGCTTCCCTAACACCCATGACGCAAGTGGTCGATGACTCAATGGTAATGAACACGAACACAGGACAAAAAATTTCATTGTTCTACGGTGATCATTCAAGGTTGCGCGCATGTCTTATGCTTCTTGTACAAACGATTGTCATCGCTTACAGCTTCGTGCGTGTTCGTACTGGTTATGCTCAACAGACTTCCCGTCACCTGGGTGGAGGGGGGAGGTAGTAGAGATCTACAGCATCCTGTGAAAAAATTTTATCTTTGTCCGGCACAGTTGCTGGCTGGTATTTAATCGGATAAAATAAAACTGAACAAATGCTCGCTTACAGCTCCCTGATAAATGTCATTTTGCAACGAATATCTAACCATTTGTCAAAACCGGCTAAACCATTCTACTGTTTAGAAAGCGCCCGCCGAAACGGAATGACTTACTTCTTTTCAATAAATGCCGTGGAAATATGTTGATATCTCTGTTAACCTTAACTACGGACAGAATTTTAAGTATAATGTCTGTTTAGGCGATTGGGAGTGCTTTGTTGATTCTACCAGTATGCACGGAAAAGAGCATCTGGAAAAGGCGAGATCGCATACGCCTGATCCTTCGATTTCGTGTACGTTTGATGGCGGAATGTGCGGCTGGTCCAATCCGGAAGGCGCGTCGGCCAGGTTTGCTCCATACTATGTAGTTGTAGCTTCGAAAATTTTTTCAACTGTTTTTGGGCAATCACCTATAAAGATTTTTATTCGGCTATTGAAACATCAGGTACAGTGGACACCATAAATGTGGTTACACTAGACAATCGGTCCGAGGACCGATATTTTAACGGCAAGACCAACAGCAGACCGAAATAAGTCGGTCATGTCCATTGCGCGTAGACTCGTATGCTAAACTCAGGCACTTGGAACTTGCACATTTCTCAACGCAAACCATCAAGCGATATCTCAAAAGAATAAGAAAAAAATTCTAAGAATTTTGATACCAAACAAATTGGTTTTTATTACATCTAAAAGAAAATCGAGGCTCCTAAAGTTTCCCGTAGACATAACATAGGATTTGAATCCACGGTTTGGTTTGTTTTCACGCATATGCTTTGTCTACGGGAAACTTCAGAACCTCGATTTTCTCTTAGATGAAACAAAAGTTGAATTTGTCAGGTATCAAAATTCTTAGAATTTTTTCTCATTCTTTGAGATATCGTTTGATAGTTTTGGGAAGTGTGCAAGGTGCAAGTAAACATCAGCAGGCCGATGGCCAGCACAGAATTGGCTGTCTGAATACAGATAAGTATCTGGTTGCGTACGGTTTGAGTGTAACCACATTTTATGGTGTCCATTGTATTTTGTTGCACATTCTTGAGGAATAAAGGCTTGCTTTATTCGAGCTTTGAATGCAACGCAAGTTGAGCGTAAGTTGTAACAACGTTGTAAAAGCACACTCGTTGTAATAAGCACACTGGTTGTATCAACTGTAGAACGTAGATGGATAAACCTTCGCATTTTAAAAGATAGCCTACTCTGTACATCCTGCGCGTTTTGGACTTGATGGGTTTGATTCGCTCAGGCAGCAATACCACCATGCATACTCATGGTCAGTAATGGCTTGGGCTAAAAGGCCCGCACTCGGACAATTGGGAGTGCGACATTTCGCTGCACTCAAATTGAGCAAATTCGCTGGGGGATGTATATAAGGTATTGCGAAGATTATTCTCTAGTTTCCGATTATCTGTACTGAGAAAGCACGCAAATGCACTGAATACAGAGGAGATATGCGCAATATTCAAAAAAACATTAGTGGGACTGCTATAGATTAAACTGTAGCATTGACCATTATGAAATTGAATTTAAAAACACTGCCGTGCTGCTTATTAATATGTATGTAACGTAAAACTTCATTCGAAGAAGATATGAAAATGAGACAACCAGTTATCCGTTTTTAGTTGGGTATGGAAGGACCGTGAACTGAACGGTACCGGCTGGAGTTCTGCCCCGCATGCATTTGCTCAAAGCGATTCCACCATTCATCTAGCCTACGCTCGTTTGTTGTCCCCGTGCATCAGTATCACCGGCGCTACAATATTTACAATTTCCGGCGATTATTTAACCATTTCTAAAGATTCAGTAAAAGTGTTTCTTTGGAAAAACACTTCTTCCATCGCCATCCCAACGTATAATTACGGCACAAATATTAAACAGCCTGTGAAAAATGTTCGCATCATCATCGAAGCCAGATTGCAGCCGGGGGAAGTTTTTACTCTCCATAACGTCTATTTCGCCAACGAAGAAGAAAAAGTAATTTACAGTGATGAGTGCGCTGAGTATCCAAAAGACCTTCTGCTCGCTGATTACCCCCTGCAAAACACCGTCTCCTGTAGTTTTGATCGGAATTTTTGTGGTTGGTCCCTGTCGTCCAATGATACTATGGGCCGCGTTTTCATTGTAAACCAGTTGTACTATCCAGAAATCCCAATAACAGGACATGGAGCGCTAATTGTTACAGCGAAGCCTGTCCCAGGAATGCCTGTTGGCGCAAAGTTTGTTGCTGGGCCTTTTCAAACTCCGACGATCATCCAGCTACAACGGACCCAGCTATTTTTCCGTTATCGTATCACTGGACAGATCGATAATATTGCGCTCACTGTTGAGCATGCTGAGCATGTTGTTGATCATGACAGGAAGTCGGAAAAATTATGGAGCTTCAAAGCCCGGGGTCAACGACCCATGTACGACCAAGTCAATAAGTGGTTATATGCTCGAGTACCACTTTGCATTGAAGGACGCTTTCGGTTGGCATGGCACGCTACGTTCACGTACGCTATCAACTGCTTTACAAAAAAAAACTACTTTTGAAAGCGCTCTTTTGATTACCAGTTTACCTAGTACCTACATGCTATAATAAAATTTTAGGAACGTTCCCACAATGCCGTTATGGATCGACGAAATTGTAGTTGAAGACGAAGTAAATACCTTCTCCCTAGAAGACGAGGACCGCATTGTCAAAGCGCCGAGATGCAATGCTGCGATAGATACGCAAGTAGCGTCCAGTATTACGTGCGACTACACACGGAGCCATGCACTGGGCGTACCAGTCGGCAGATTTTGTGGTTGGGCGTGTCAGCCATTCAGCGATCATGCAGTTTGTTCAGTCGGCTTAACCTTTTATGGCGGAGGTTATTTGCCGCGCTGGGCGTTGCAGTTCGACGCCAAAGCAAGAGTGGGCGAAAACCAAATGCCGAAGGCTCTCTCGACAGTCAGCGCACCGCTGATCATACAACCCGATTCCCAGTCGTATGTATCATATCGCTACAGAGGACAGCCCATACTGGTTACCGTGTTGGCCCAAGCAGCGCCCTACACGGAGCCAGCAGAGGAGCTGAACGTGTTTAATTTCACTGTCACTGCTATCACTGAATGGTTCGAACTAAATGTAACGCTGCCCAAACGACTCTCGGGACAAACAATGAAGGTAATTGAGGTGAACCGACAGACAGACGGCAACTGCGTCGACAGACGTTGTACGAAATTAAAATATAATCTGCATGATCTGTTCTAGTTGTACCTAGCTGTACAGTTTCCGGAAAGCAGCACTACAACGCCCATGAATTTCGCAATAAGCAGCATCTGGTTTACGGGAGAAAAAGGTACTAAAAACTCTGCCATTATGCTTACAGGATGTAGAGATACAGAATATTTATGCAGGGTATGAAGTTCCAGTGCAAAGTGATTCGACGCCACTTCCAGGTAAATAATAACTCATGCAAGTGTTACGTTAGCGATGTTTTAATGCGATAATTCTCCCTATGATTCACGATATCCTGTATCAGATATACTATCCGTATAAATACTTACATGTTCGCTAAAATCAACACAGTTACCCTACCAGTCTTATGTTCCGAACTTTGCTTCCTACTGTGTACTGACAATCACCAATAAAGGCTTGTAATATCTATTCGCCGGTTTTGCCATTTGCTCTGCCTAAGTTTCGTAACAATTTTGGTCCGATCACGACTGAGAAATCCTGTGGTATACAGCCAGTCCCTTTCCTACCGGGTGACCACGTCTCACCAGTACTTTTCCGCTGACCTTTTCCCCAGTTACCGCTTTCCAACCATATAACCCCTTGTTCATTGCCGAGGTGACTTTCCATCCCCAACGGCCCATTACCCATAGACATGGAGAACGGAACAACGGTGGTGCCATGTGTAAGTGACAATCTTTAAAATGTTAACAGGCGGGAAGACAGGAACGTTTTAAACAGAGATTTTATTCGTCTTTTTCTCGATATTCATCTCGACCTGATTTATTTTGATATTTTTATTGTTTCTTGCCTCTTACCTATCCGTTGCAATTTAGAAGGCTTCGGTACAAAATGATTTAAGGTGATCTAATTGTTTCACTGCTCCCGAGAAGCTGTTTTCAGAAACACATTCTTCTTATAGAGAAAAATTTTCTCTATCACATGAAAGTTTATGTGATCAGAAAAACATCATGAACTGACCAAAACAACAAAAAAACAATAATGCCCCGCCGGTCATTTTTACCGACCACACAAAAGATTTTGAACGCAGCGCCACCTAACCATCGTAACTTCTTCGCTTCAACTCCGCGATTACAATACATATGGGCAAATACACTTTTCTAATTCAAGATTCTCAATTCATTTTCAAAACCTTTTTACTGCGTTGTTCTTCTCCTTCCTTATCTATCATTTTGAATATGGATCCTTTGTGTGAACTCTTCAAAAATAACGAGTAAGCCGTGTCTTAATCTATTGCTGTATCGGAATATGACTGAAGATTTGCTTTATTGTGTTATAGCCTTTTATGCCCGCAGTGGCTCCTGAACACAGTGGTACGGCTGCACGCACAGCGAGCTACGGGTAAAACAGCTCGACATGCTGTTTACGCAGCGGTCTACAAAAAACTAAAGGTAAGAATAACGAGGTACTCTTCTACGCTTTCCCAATACAATTTTTCGGCGTGCCTTCCGCGCCAGTGGTATTTTCTTGCGTCTGCGTGAATTTTACGCCATGCGGCTCATGCGTAATCTTAGCAGTGCGAATTGTACCACGCATTTTCGTCTGTGTTGCGTAATCGTTTTCGATTTGTGTTTATAGATATCTGGGTGGGGATCTGCGATAAAACTGCAATTTATCCTGCAGAATTTATCGCAGTGATCCAGCTACTGTTCCCGGATGATTCGATTCATAAAGAGGTTCGTTCATTTCGCAATATTCATGACTGTATTATAGCTATTATTTATTGTAGTTATTATCCTAAATATTGATTATCCGCATCTAATCTCTATGCTTTTTTATTTTAATGCAGTTTAATTTAATTTTATTTTAATAATATATGAACACTTTGGGCTGCTTGTACAGTAAAGTGAATTTCTAAATTTCAGATCGGTAACCCCAACGTCAGCCTGAAAGATATAGCAGACTCTTAATTCTGCTGCATGTTTCTTACTTTCTGGTCATCGTACGATTTGTCAACGCATTCCAGACAACAGAATTAAAGTGTGATGCAGTTTTTTATTGTTGTTTATCGCTGTTATCAAGCTACCACTAAAGCTCTAACATCATCAAGAATTGAAACCATAATCCCCACCATATTCACCATTCTGGGCTTTGCTGGGCGTTAACGGAGCCTTTCGTTTCTTGCTCTTTTTTGGTGACTTTTTCACAGTGGTCTTATTCGTGACAGGTAACGGTTCCGCTTCAACTGCGAGCTCAAAGCACGCCGGATTTTTCTCGCAGATTCCCCAGCCAGTTTTTTATCGTTGCGCTGTTTCAGCTGACTTGCACGGTTTGCGTCGCGGGCTTGCAGGTACAGTTTGAGTTCTGTTTCCATAGTCAAACCCAGTTCGCCGAACACCGCGCAACAGGTCTCATAGCTTCCATCATTCCACTCGGCAGTCGCCAGATTAACTGCAATGCGTACCGACTGTAACGTCGCCCTCTCGACTGAAAAAAATTTATTAGCTCCTACAGCGACCAGTAATGTATCGTAAACACACGTTACGCTAAATCATTGACGCTAAGTAGTTGAAACAGCTCAGGTCTTTGGTAACAGATACCGTTACCGTAAGTCCGTAACCATTAAAAATGTTGTTTAGTTTTAATTACTTTGCTGCATCGCGACCATATCTTTGAGTGAAACGCTTCGTTTCGGCTTGTATGGTAACTGTGACAGAGCCGTTTCAGCCATTTCTCATCAGTGAGATTTTGGAAAACTGGTTTCACCTGTTCCATGCATGCCGGAAGAATGTTGTTCCTGTGGTGATATTCCTGAAAATATTTTTTTATGCGATATTTTTATATTTTCGTAGCTTGAGGTTAACGCTGTCAGTATAACTGACCTTTAAACGCCCCTCACTTTCGGCCAGTCTGTAGGGACACCAACTATCAGGTCCCAGTGGGCAAAAGCGATGATCAGGCTCAGCATCGGTAGAAATTTTGTGGTAGTATACGGCCCAAATAGCTTTATATAGATCGTCCGGGTTACCACCTTGTTTTCCCGTCTCATTTATTGCAGCGGAAACGTAATACGACATTAGTGAAACCTGCCAATATTAGCGTAACCTTTAGTGAAACTGTGATTTTGTGGCGGTAACCGGTTACTTCGTAACTTTCTTTTTTACCTGATGTTCGGTTAACTTTCCTGCTCCTTCATTGCTCTTCCTAGAGAATTACGTATGGTGGTCATTTGACGCTTGAATCGTTTACCAAAGTGGTTTTGTCCTCCAGCTTTTCCACTTCCATACCCGGATATATGTTCTTCACTTTCTCATAGTTCTTGCTGTCTCCGTCACCGACCATGTAGCGATAGCTTAAGCATAAAGTCAGCACCCGTTCATTAGAAATGCAATTTATGACAAGTAACAACAACACAGCGTGACAAGTAACAAAATTTAGGAGCGTAACAGGTAACGCGTAACGTAACAAGTAACAGCAACACAAAGCGTGACAAGTAACAAAATTTAGGAACGTAACAGGTAACGCGTAGCGTAACAAATAACAGCAACACAAAGCGTGACAAGTAACAAAATTTAGGAACGTAACAGGTAACGCGTAGCGTAAAAGTAACAGCAACACAAAGCGTGACAAGTAACAAAATTTTGGAACGTAACACGTAACGCAAGAAGTAACCTCAACACAGCCACCATGTATCCGCAACAGGTAACAAGTAACGGTAATATGTAGTGTAGCGTTTAGCGTAATGTAGCAAGAAACACCTTCGTAACGCAGTACGTAACAACCGTGCTTAACGTGACAGGTCTCACTTAACTTACATTAGGTTTAGTTTTTTTATTGATCTCTCGAAGAGAATTTTTGTCGCGCTTGATTCCATAGAAGTAGATGCTCCGTCGTGATTCAGGTCGCAAAGGTGGTCCGCAAAGTCTTCATTTCCTTTACAAATTTGACAGTATTTGGACGATATAAAGTTATCTAAAACCTTTCCAGTCACAGCTGACAAAACCGATGTCACTCCAAACAAAGATGCGAAACCTCTGGTCAACCATGAACAGTCAGTTGCAACCGCTGTGCTTTCGGGAGACTGCGGCTCTTTTTCGGCCCAGCGCAAACGTGATTTGTCAGAAACCTTGAAACGGCAATGGTAACAGCAGGCAATACACAACACTTTCTATTATCCAAGTAAAAGCAAACGAAAAAACATATTACATAAAATACATTAGTAATATAAAGTACGTATTTGAATTTCTTGTTTATGTACTTGTTTGTACAACATAAAAGTGGAAAATTGAAATTTGAGTTCTTTTTCGCATACCTGATTTTCAAAGTATATTTCCCTTATTAATTTTTAAAATATTCTATAAAATCTACAGTGATATTATTTCATGTTTTAATGTGTTACCTTTTGAAGTACATTATCAATTTCGTCTCGGGCATGGTCATAATTGGACTGTGACAAACAGTTTAATCCCATAATACTGGTGAATTCTTTCAGCTTCTCGTAGCGAAGGTCCGCATAAATACCAGCCAGTACGAGTTTTTATTCAGGGCGAAAGAGTTGTCGCTTTTACCGTCTGCGTCTTTGGTACTACCAGTGCGTTCTGACGTCCAAAAGAATGACACGAGTGTTCGGGTGTCCACAGGAGAGACTTAGATGAGTGGATAGGCCAAAGTTCGAGGTTACCGATAAGCGGAGAGGTTTCCCACACGCCTGTATATTGGTGAGATGATTTTGCGCTCTACCAAAACCTTTTTTCGAACCTTGTCCTCACACTTTAAGTCCAGTGCAATAAAGAGAGCATTTAAGCACGTCCACGTAAATATCACAGAATCTGGTTCCATGGCAAAATTATGATTTTTAAAACTTGCAAATTATTACGCAATGAAATAGTTATAAAATATTAAATTAAATTACGCCGTTCAGATTTCTAGTCAACACAGCCATGATGAGGGCAAAGCTGTTAGTCTGGCAAGCAGGATCGCAGGTGGCGCATGTGTTTGTTTGTGTTACCGTGAGTCATGCACGAACCCATGAGCTGAAATGCTGAAGCTGTCATATCTCAGCATGACTCTTTCACTGAAAGAATTTTGTAGTATCACAGCGCCCCACGGTTCCTTGTTGTCTTGGTGTCAAACCATAGAAGAAAAAATTCACATATTGGGTTTGAATTTCTTTATTGTTGGTGAAGCTGTGCTTGTATGGCAGCACCACAAAGCAGCAATCAGACAAAATGACAGATTCAGAAGTCCCGTTCTGCTTTCTTTG